AGTATCAAACTCTTATTTAGATAAATTTGATGAAAAGACAATCGAGTCTTTATAGGCAGTCAGTTAAACAAACTGTTTTCTATTGCTTATCGGGTATTGGCAATTTGGTTGATAATCATAGCAATAAATCAGAAAAAACGAAGTGAATGTGTTCTTTTAAAAGTCGATTTATTGCCTTTTTCTTATCGATATAGTCATTTACTTGATAAACTGAATGACGTTTGTACAGTCGTAAGTTTTGACGACACGAGTTTTTATAATTGAATACATTAAAATTAAATTGATTTCCAGAATAAAATAGATAAACTGTTTAGAATTCTTTATTGGTTATAAATTAAAATTAACACAAATAGACTTGTAACTTTAATGTATTTTATGTAGTTTACAAGTGACAAGAAACTCTATGTTAAATTTATTAAACATATGAAAAAACTTATTTAGACTTGAAACATTAGTGATATTATTTTGCACATAATAAGTAATTTAATTTCACCAAATACCAAATAATTACGGACATTGTTAATGATAAAAAAAACATATTTATAATAATAACTTTTAACAAATTTCAAGGTAGTTGTGCCAGAAAAACATACATATTTTCACTAAATTTTTATGACCATTTTTCCATCTTTTTATCAACTATATTACCACAGAATACACTATACATTAAAAGCAAGTAAATAGGAGTGAGAGAGAGAGAGAGAGAGTGCGCGCACACCTTTGAATAAACTATCCGCCCAACTGTTTAGTCACGCTTAGATTCCTATGTACTCATATGGAGGTGCGCACAATATTCTATTTTTATTTGTGCAACTAAACACTTGAATTTGCTGCGAAACAATCGACAATCGCACAACCGTTGTACGATAGTTTTGTCAAAGATGTGAGCCCGCTCTTAGTTAAGTTGTAAAGAACATAAAGTTGTAGAGAAATCGATATAACTTTTTATGCACTACAATTTCTAACGTGAACCCAAGTCTAGACATTAGAAAGCTATACCGAGATCTGTGCAAGCAGGTTGTTTGTACCGCGCAAACGTAATAAACATCACTTGTATTAGATTTCAATTCATTATAATTTATATGAAAATAGTATCTTTGAATTATAACGGTTCTTCATTTTGATTTGTGCTAAATCATATTTTTATATTTAGACTTTTTCCGTTATAATTGATTTTATGGTCACTTGATGAGTGTGTGTTTTTCAATCAAGCCCATTGCATTTACAATGAAACATTTTTACTAACATCTGTACTATTATAATAAAGCGTAAACACACATTTCTTTGTTGCCTGATGTCAGCAATTACAATATATTTTTGAATAATTCCTTTTTTAATAAAAAGCCCTACACTTGCGTCACGTTTTAGGCTATATTTTAACGCCATTAAACTTACGGGGTAAATATTTTGGATAAAAACCCTAATGTGGGAAAGAGACCATAAATTGCTGCTAACATCAAAGAAGCAAGGTTGTCATTATGTCTGTCATTTTGACATTTGTAATTGGTAATTTGACAAATGTAAACAATAAAATAAAGTTTTTATAATTACATGCGGGTGAACCCGCACGGGAACAGCTAGTTGTTAATAAAAGTGTAGATGGATGTTTGTTAGAGATTGTAGCCTTAACTGCTGTGATCTCAATAAAATATGCCATATATGTAGAGCATAGTCTGAAGGAAGGCGTAGGCTATACTTTTAAAAAAAAAATCCGTGCGGGAATAGATTAAAAGAGTGTTTCTAATGACAAAATGCTCGCATTATTATTTTTTTATTTAAAAGTAAAAGTTGTTGAATAAATTTAAGCACATAAAATATAATTTTGGGTAATATTTAGTCGCAAGATGAAACGGACGCTCAAATGTAACAAAAAACAGAGGTTAAACGCATCTGTCAAAATTTCTCACAACAGAAAATCAATCTTATGTTTAAGTTATGAGAATTTAAATTAGTGTGGAATCTATTATTTTGAATAGTCAGCCTTTCTTATTCTACTTTACTTGTGGAAATTTAAACCTTATCACAATAGGGTCACGGTTGCAAATCTGTTGATGGTATTTTCTGTTTACCAGCAGCGGAAGCTTTTAGTTACATACCTATTCGTATGAGATATCAGGTAAAGGGAATTCAGGTTTTCTATGAGTAACGCTACTGTTCTTTGTTCTTATACAATTTAAACAATGACATTAACTTTGTTAAATAACAATAGAAATAATAGTGACATCCAGTTCGTTTTTTAGGTTATGTCGGGTTTTTTAAAAATAAAAAAAAAACAAACACTAAAGCTCTACCTACTGTTCCGTTTATCTGTCATTTTAAGCCGTTAAAAATTCGATACGAAGTCTAAAAAAATTTTCAAGAAATCTTGTCACCATGTGATTTTCCACAGATAACCTATTTCGTTTATAATATTTTTGATTTATAAAATTCGTACATTACAGACAAAATATTTAAAGCCTTAGAAGTTACGAAACATTACGCAATAATATATCGGAATGCATTGTTAAAACAACTGTCTTTTGGTTTAATCCATTTTGATTGTCAATTATTTCCCGCCCGCCGCCATTTTGTGAAAGACATCACGTAAATAGCTCCTATTTTGGTAAGAATAATTCGTATTGAATTATTACTAGCTGTTGCCGCGACTTTATCCGTACATAATTAATAATTAAAATGTTTCAGTTTGGAAAATATTGAAAAATACACGCACTTTTAAACTAATGTACTTATTCGCTTGGGTAATCAGCGAACTAATCCCATACGAGCACGAGAACAGTTGGTTATTTTATCTTAGAAAATGTAAGAAAAACTTAATATTATTATGTTAAATATGTATTCTTGATGTTTTAAATGAAATATATCTTTACCATAATCCATTCATTTTGCCGCCAATTTGCTCTAAATGCATAGATAAATCGTCTCTATCGCAGTAGATCACTTTCGTAATACGCGTTGTATAATCGATTAGATCTCAATCGATTAAATCTATTCGATTTAATGAGCCAGATCTCGTGTAATCTGTTTTAATCGGCTATTTACATCTATGTCTAATTTTATGTTTACAGACTTGAACGATTATTTAAATTATTTCGTTTAGAATCAACATTTTATATAATTTCATACCGTACATAAACACAATTTCTCTAAAAAATAATTTTGATGTTTAAAATTCAGTTTATGTATTTGGACAGTTTTGGATATAAATAACACCGTTCTCGGAATCCTTGAAAACAGAAATCACAACATCAATTGTTTCAATAAAAACATGAAAAAATCATAACAACATCTAACCTACAAAATGTCGTTTGATAATAAACTAAGGAGGCTCAAAAGGAAGGGAAATAGAAAACGGAAATATCCTCTGTCTTTCCATTGCTCCATCGATGAAAGGTAGGCAACGCGACTCCATTGCAATTTCTGGCAGTGGTCGCTTCACTATCGGCGAATTCAGATAACCGTTTTCTAGCAACTTTATACGATTAAAAAAACTCTTTGTATTTGAGTACATAAGTGTGCTAATACCGCCTAGATTATCATTTTTAACCTTTACAATTATCATATAATAAACAAGTGAACGATCTAAATGCTGTGGTTACATACATGACAGGTTTGTTACGAGAATAGATTTGTTGCTCCGACAGCTCTGTTACATGGCCACAATGCAGGTTACGAAAGACAAAATTAACTATTCATGAGTCTATTGTATTTAGGTAAAAATGTTTCAATTTGTTATAGATAATATGAGAAGCTCGGAGCCTACCCTAAGTATACTGACAGGCTTATAGTCAAACACGCTGACCCTCTCTGAGTTGACTTTACAGATAATTTTAAATTTACTGGCAAATATGGTTGCATCACGATGTTTTTTTTTTTCACCACAAGAACGTCGGGTAAATTTTAAAATTCGAAAATCGAACACATTGATACAAAACTGGGTTCGAACTGGCCTAGAGATTAAAAATTAAGTACTTAAACCAATGGGCCAACAACGCTCTATGTTATAGCTTTATAATGTGTTTAGAATCTGAACTATTATATACATACAAACTAGATTATTAAAGATGTCGAAAACATCACAAAGCGTAATAATTTGATAGCAAAAAAGTTAACAAAGCGATTAGCAAGGCATCCTCGGCGCGTCGATTTCGCGCCTGCATTGTGTTGAACATTTACAAACAATACCGCTAGACCGGTCCCGATGCTGCCCAAATTATATTCTACGTTTAAAATCTGTTTACGATTTTAAACTCTCTGGTTTTTAATTTAGGTGTCAAATTATTACAATGCAAAGTTGTTTTAACTCAATAAGATAAACGTTCTAAAGAAAAAAAAATCGCATAGATATAAAGTTCATTGAATGGATCTTTTTCTGAACTCTTTTGTACGTATTGTGTAATGCAATTTAAGACTAAATATGGTTAAAACATAAATGTTTTGATTCTAACGCCATACTTTCCCTGTATCAGTAAATTGTGCTAAACTTTCTACTTATGTTGAATTCCCAACAAATTTCAAACCGCAAAATTCAAACAACTTAATCATATACTTCGGAGAAACGTGAACTGGGGTAAGCAGAAGTAGAACGAGTAAATCTAGCTTATTAGTCTATGATAACAATTTCCGTAAAGTATTGAGGCTACACTTTTATTAGTGGTTCAATAAATTTTATTATGATTAAGGACAGGAAATACTCTTCGTGGCCATTAGTCTTGCCCTATTAAACAACCTGGCCACGTACTACAAAATGTCTTTTGATACTGTTCCAAATCAACTTAAAAAAAAACTAACAGATGCGCACAAACAAACTTGTTAAGTGGTCACTCTGTTCAGTGCAAAATAAAACCTCTTTGGCTGACAAGAAGTATGAATGCAGCCAAGAGGATGCATACTGGCCACCGAGACTGTTGCGTGGTTTGTTATTAAAAAGATAAGAAACAGAAGAAAAAGAATCGTATAACGGGCAAGATGTGATTGATATAGTTTTGTAAATCAATATTTTAAAGTAAATCAGTTAAAATAAAGTTGTTTTGATTTAACATAGAAGTTTGTGTTTTTGGCTGCCGCGCTGTCGGTAACAAGTTGAACATTCAGGGCAATTTAAGATGTAATATTTCTCGTACTAAAATTTCGATTGGATTACTTTGGTAATAATTAAATCATTGCTTCCCTATAGGTTTTTCGAGCGTCAGTTGTAAGGTGGTTCAACTATGACCATTTCAATAGTTACAACTTTTAAAAAGTTCGAACTTTCCCAGTTTCTTAACTTCTATAGCGAAGTAAAATTGCTAGTAACAATAGCACCAGTTTTTTTCTTTTATTGAAAACATTGCCATGCTTGATGTATGTTTTCTATCAAGTATAAACTAGAAACGTCTAGTTGCGACTTAGTTTCACTTAAAAGCAACATCATGTTGAATTAAGGTAAAAAAATAATTATAAGTCATTACTTCTCCAGACTATAATAACATCGTAACTAACCTTCAAAGCTATTATGTTTCATTATGTTTTCATCGAATTTTTGAACTTTCTTTTTTTTATACCTTAATTTTATAGTTGGTTTTTTTATTTCGTACCTAATACCGATACTGGTACTAATTTAAGATTTATGATTTCTTTTTGAAAAAATTATAAACGTAGCTAGAATAGGGATGTAATTAAGTTGTTTCGAATGGTTATAAAAAATTGGTGCCATTGGAGAGTACTTGTGAAGTACTTATTACACTGATTGAGTCACTAAGGATCAGGTTACACGGCTTGTACTTCATTGTATGATTTTTTGTGATACACTTTAAAATCACCTGTTACAACCTGTTATTGAATATGTAATTAACTATACCGTTGTTTAAGCGAACGGAAACAGTCCAGATATACACTGAGAATAATTTATTTAAACACTAGCGATTCCCGTGTGGCTTCATCCGCATGAAAATATAAATAAAATAATTATTGTTTACATTTGTCAAATTCCCAATTGCAAATAAAATTATCGTTACCATAATAACATTGCTACCTTAATGTTGGCAGCTTGTAGTTTATGCTCCCTTTCCCACATGAAGGTTTTTTTTTCAATTGATTTAACCCCTAAGTTTAATAGCGTGAAAATATATAGCCTAAAGCGTGTCGTAAGTGTAGGGATTTTAATTAAAGAAATAATTATTCATAAATGTGCTGTGATTGCTGACATCCTACGCCACGAAGTAGCGTATTTTTACGCTTTATTATATTAGTATAGATAATATCCACTTCTGTATGTCCTTTTCCTAAAATGAATTGTTTCTCATTTGTTACGTTCTGTGCAGGTGGAGTGGAGGGCGGGCCGCCGTACAGGATGCCACCGGCGCCCGAGGCCGCGCTGCCCGGCGCCCCCGCGCCGTCCGCGCCCCCTACGGCCTTGCACACGCACTCCGCAAAGTTCCCGGTAACACTATTTTAACAATGATCTCTATATATGGATAGGTATGACTTAAATGAGCTATCGCTTCGTTGCGACTTAAACGTACTTATTGATGTTATTAACAGTTATTTCAATCTCTTTTTGCCAGTCCAAAAATAATGAAAACAGAATAAAATGAGGCTTACAGCATAAAAGATAGAGGTCACTTTACATGTAAGTAGGTGTATTTTAAGTAAACGAACAGGAGATGTCGCTGTGGTACAATCAAAAATAATTGAATACCTCAGTAATTATAACTTACTATGCGTCGTGTGACAGGAGCTCCAAAACTAAGTTTTGATTTGCCAGTCCGATGGCATTTTTAGAGATACTGCGGTTCCCTATTGACGGATTATGCCACGATAGACATTATTATCATCTTTATATCATTAATGATAATAACATTGGTTAGAACTTTAAGATACCAATCTGTGGTTTCCCCGTCATAATCCTTTTCATAAGAAGATTGTCGTCTCTAACAAACACTTGGAAATATCGAGAGCAGTGGAAACGCACGGTTACGTCCTTAATGAGGACTAAACAAGTTAAATATACGAACATTGCTATCTAGCAATCTTTACATCAATCTGCAAACACGTTTGACTGATTTAAAAATAAAAACCGCAATCTATCATTCCCCGGAGGCGTTCCAACGAAAGTATATGTTATTTATAGATGTTACTATCAAATTGTAGAGATCGCCTTTTTATAACTTACCTAGGAACTGATAATATTCCAACTACCTATGAAAGGACACCCGTAAAAATTGCCAGAATTATCTGATACTAGCGAAAGTTAGCGACTTCGCCCGCGAGAAATTAAAAAAAATAAACAATAAAAAACATAGCTTATGTTATTAACTAATAAATTAGCTTTATAATGGTGAAAGAATTTTTTAAATCGATTCAGTAGTTTTTAAGTGAATCAAATACACACAAAATTCCAAAAATATAAAAACCTTTCCTATTTATAATATAAGCATAGATGGAATTTGCGGAAACTTTAAGATTTAACTAGCTAAATTTTAAACCGACGGTGTTATCGATTTGCTAGCAACATAGACAGGCAGATCGTACCTGTCATCCTTCCGTCACGGGTCCACTCAGGTTCTATCTACAATCAAGACAGACAAGTTCTCAAGGTCAATGCACCACGCCATCTGTCGCAAACAAAGATTGTTTCATATTGATGAATACCATTGAAAGTGTTTTTTTTATTTCACTTGCATTCTCTACATGTATCAGATTTCTTCAAAAGATAATACGTGTATTTCGCCTTAATATATTGCCGTATTTGTATGTGAGTTATAACTTGTTTTGCAAATGTAAAATAGAAAGTTCAAAAACTACTAAAGGTCGAATAAGTAAAAGTTGTAATATTTTTTTTTATAACAAGGTGGCAAACGAGCAAGCGGCCACCTGAATCCGCCAACATGGCGAAGTGACCGCTGCCCATAGACACCCGCAATTGCTGATGCGTTGCCTACCCTTGTCCGACAGAGTAGGAGACGCACATAAAGAGGATATTTCCCCTTCTTGTGCATCTCCTCCTCCGTTAAATCCACTTCAACGACCCATCCTCTCCTTATTAGGCCTCCAGCACCACACTCATCAGACTAATCACGGAATTGCTTCCACTTCACGCCTGTCTTCTGTGTGGTCGTGGTATTACACCGGGCGAGCCGGCCCTGCAGTGCTAAGATGTTAAAGCGGGCACTACCACTGTCAAAATGTTTTACTACTGTATAATATGTTTTAGTTAGAAAGTCAATGTTTTTCTCCTCTGTTGTACAAATAGCTTTTCAAGTGTGGTGTGTCTTCGAGTGTCCCTAAAACTATAGCAAATTTAAGAACTAAGGAGCCCCCTTAATGTTACCAAGTGCCCCCGCAATTTACCGGAATGCTATGAATATGTTTGAAAAGTCTTTTTGAATTTTTAACCGATAACATAGTTTTTATTATTATCGTGCTATCATAAAATTTTACTACATAGGTATCGCTGCTATACTAAAATTAAGATATTTGGTACATTTAAATAAATATATCAACGTCCAATTATCGAATTTAGTCCACGTATTTCCATCGTTTTGAGAATGCAGTTATTTTTAACACCGATCATTTTGCATACGAATTTTACTCATTAATTCAATTAAAATAACAAATACATTAATTTTTATTATAATTACAAGCTATTTTTGTAAAATGTTTTAATTTTTGTAAGTTTTTTGAAGCTAAATGTATTTACTAATTATTTTTACTTTATAATTATCTGCAATTAAGAGATTGTTGTTTTATTTTTGGAAATTACACTCTAATATTATTTCTTATTTAATCTTACTAATATTATAAATACGATAGTTACAGTGGATGTTTGTTTATCAGACTTTTAGGCTTAAACGGTTTAACGAATCTGGATAAAATTTGGCATAGTTGTAGAGCATAATCTTGAAAAACAGATAGTTTAATTTTGCTTTTCTTAATTCCATGAGGACGGAATCGGGAGCGAAAACTAGTACCTAGTAATTATTATGCGTGAAATTGTACACACCTAAATTTTTCTTTGGTATATCCATATTCATGTACAGTTTCCCCGGAGAAAGTATTTATTGCTTTATCTGTCGATCTTTTGATTGATATTTGTGCGTGTTCATCTCATCTTTTGGGATTACTATAATAATATTTATTTCAGCACTGCTTTACTTTCTCTCAAGGGAAACATACGAAAAAATACTAAAACGACACACAAATATGTAACAATATTGAACGATAATGCCACGTTTAAACTGCAAATTCCAATAAAATTACGTCTGTCAGATTGTACGCAAAGAATAATTTAATATTCAGTCGGATTATTAGTATTACGACCTCGTTTGTCTAAGTAGAATCTAAATTCCTTTTTCATTTAATTTTAGGTTAGGTTAGTTATTTCTGTGCGTCTCCTTCTATAATAAACAATCTGAGTAATATTATCCTTACAGATAGAACGAGAAGTGATACTGTCCTCTGGTGAGAAGAACTCAAAGGTTCCAATCCTGCAGGAAGCAAGGAAGCGAGGCCGGCTGGGAGCTGTGGCACCTGACACGCCGCCCAAGACCCTGTCTGCTTGGACACATGCTGAGGTACGTAAAGAGTAAATCTATAGACTGCTCGTTTGACATTCAAAATCAGAGTCTTTTGTCACTAAGACAATGCCTAAAAAAACGACTCTTCGTTAATTAGTCACTAGTTATTGCCTCTAAGACTTAGACTCTGTACGCGCGGAATTAAAAAAAAAACTTTATTAGCTTACATTTGTGCCAAATTTCAGAAGAACACATTGGCAACTTTTACTTTTGTTCGTTTTAATTCCGCGCGGACCGAGTCGTAGGTGACAGCTAGTTACCCACAAATCCAAATACACTAGCAAATAGTATGACTTATACCTTTGTTTACCATCTTTAACTGATGAAATTCCACACATAGTTTACAAAAATATATTTCACTTTTGTTATCAAACTCATCCATCCACCTCACTTACTGTCGACATATTCCGAGAATTCCCTGACAATTTGCTCGAAGGAATTTTCCTTGAATGTAAATACAGCGATAAAAATCCACATGAAGCTACACACGTTCAATTTAATCTGACAGTTTTATCTGTACAGCCCAATCGTTCAGATCTATGAAGCGTACATCATTGACTAAACTATCGCACAACTGTTTAGTCGCGCTTTGATTCGTATCTATATGCGTACACTACTCGATGTTTAGTTGTGCAACTAAACAGTTGAATGGACTACGAAACATTCGACAATCGCACGACTATCGCATAGTTTAGTCAAAGGTGTGCGCCCGCTCTGACTAAAATGGGAACTGTTCAGTGATAGATAAACTGCAGTTAAAGCATTCTTTATGTATACTAGGAATTTGACGTTTATGTAGTTTTCATAGTCCCTCATTGAAATACAATTTCTACTTATTCTTCTCATAAATGAACAAAGTACGAAGATAAACGTAAAGCAACTTATTATGACAATTTCATATACAAATCTATTTCACTTTTTATAGGCGTAAGTTGTCTAGAAATCGTTGCATAACTTGTTAAGGACGTCCATTAATTTAAAGGATAACGATCTGCGTACACGAGTACTATTATCACAACCTGTGTACTGTCGCGTAGAAAAGTTAGTAGCAATTATTATGTACTTTTTCTGAAATAAACTAAGCTTTAGGCCGGGACTTCTTTGGAGCGAAAAAGCCGATTTTCAATTACATTCGCAATAATGAAATAAATATGATTATAGAACGATGTATAACTCGCAATCGTGTACAGTCCAGTAGAAAAGTTGTAATCGAAGCAGTTATGTTCTAAAGTTAGTGATAACGTGTACTATCATGTAGAAAAGTTAAAGCAGTTATATTCATGAGATGGGTTACGTCTTCCTGTGAGTTAACGAGCGTGTCGGCCGACCAGGCGAGACGGGTTCGAAGCCCTAACATGTACAGTCAAGCACAAAAGTGTAAATCCAACCTTATTATAAGTAAGAATAAGGTGCAATGTAATTAATTATGATTTAATTATTTACGTTCCATAAATGTACTTGGAGATATAAAATGCGATTGTTCACTGATTTTGATAACGTATTAAAAAGTACATAAAAACTTTCTTAGTATAGGACATTAACAAATATTTTTGCTTCTTTTTTATTAAATGTTGTTTACTATATATTTAGAAAAAACTGTTAAATGCTAAATCAATGTATACAGATTATTATCTATACAAATGAACAAATAATGTCTCATTAACATAAATTAGTCCAAAACATATCTGCGTGCGTTGATTTATGCTTAACTTTTGCGTTGAATCACATTTAAATGATAATATTGAGATGGCTTGCTAATACATGTTGTTAATTTGATGAACGATGTCTGGAGTCTGGTAGTGGTGTGGTCACACTACGAGCGGATAGCGTACGAACGCTAGTTCAACAAAAAATAGTACTATAAATTATTTTTATGCCTACGAGGAATTTACAATCATTTGCCTAAGAGCGAGCGCACACCAGAAACTAAACTATCGCACATTTTTTTGTGTTGCTTTGATTCCTAAGAGCTGTAGTTGTGCGATTTGAAGTTGTGCAACTGAACTGTTGAATTGGCTGCGAAACAATCGACAATCGCACAATCGTTATGCGATAGTTTAGGCAAAAGTAGGCGCATAGTTATGTAATAACAATGGAAGTTTTCTCACGTGAAGTAAAATAGATGTTCGCAATTCTGTTAAATGTAAAGGTAAAATTTCTTCATATTCCTTAGTGTATAATTGCTTATAACAAAATCTACACTAAGGGTCTCCATTAGTGCTCATTTAAAGAATTTAAGTGTGGCTGTTAACTTACCAAAAGTTTGCCAAAATTACAATGTATGATTTTTGTATCATAGCGTATAATCGCGCTCCGCTCCGCGTGGTTGCTATAACCACTGCTTTTCTAATCAGTCGACTGCATATTAATGCAGAATTATGTTTTAACAACTTAAGTATCGCATGACAAAGCAACATTTCGTCCGGCGCTTCTTAAAATGTGATATTAACGGAATGCGTCAGGTCAACCGTCTCAATCTCTGCGCTTATGTTGACCTGGTATCTGATTTGTGTCTGCACATCGATATGTGGAAAAAAAATATTTTACTCGACGTTAATTACGTAAAAATTACATAAATATATAAAAGACACGATTTTACCTCGAAGAAAGTAAATCTTATTCTTACTTAATATTTAATTGTGAAATTTGGATGGATGGATGGATGTTTGTTAAAGTTTGTAGCATAAACTATTGATGAAATTTGGCTTAGGTTTAGATGATAGTCTGAAAGAACATATAGATTACTTACGTTTGTTTTTTTTTAATTCCACGCTAACGAAGTCACTGGCGAAAGCTAGTATTTTATATTTATACTTACAATATGATGATATTCCAACATATAAACTATTCTTAAAGACCATTCTTAATAAGCTTTTAACTAAATATAATAGGCGTTAAATCGAAAATTTGTAACAAAAGGCTAGAACAAAAGCTTCTCTTTTGAAGCCACGCTACTCGACACACAATATAAATTCAAGGCGCGTCCCTCGCGGTGAGTTAACTACGACGAAGCAACGGTGAACACGATCGGTGCCGTCTACCTACGTCGAATTAATGTGAAAGATAAGAAATCAATCATACATTATTTTGATTATTTCAAAGAATAAAAAGGATAGATATATGGAAACTAAATCAAATAATACAAATATCATTACGTTTTATTTTCACGGACGAAGATTCGTCTATGAAATAATCATTAAAATTTAGTTGATAATAATGTTATTCAAAAACAAAAAAACCCCGCCTTAATACACGGCAACGGGCGTACGTAAAAATTTATAGCTTTGTTTATTACATAAACGAGAAAATCGTTGGAGCAATCAATTAATCGCATGATCATCCACCATGCAATTAATTGACACGGGTCATTTAATATTTGGAATCTGAGATATTTATTAATATTTATAAAATACAATAAAATAATTTAACGACACTAGAAAATTCTTTATCTTATTTACAAAGGCCAGCATTGTTAATATTGAAAACTATTTATTTTTCGTTTATTTATACACAGTTATAAATTTTCGTTGAATTCTGAGGAGAGTTTGGCATAGTTAATTTGTGTTTCACTTATGTACGTGTGTCCGTATAATTAAGCATTATCAGTGAAAGTTGTCCATTACTAAAATGTGGATTTACCGTGTCGAATGTTAACTACTGGAGCGTGATAGAGACGCGATGGAATTGGTGTAAAGGCCGATCGAAATAATTAAGCCAACGGTCATTTCGTACACGCGCCACAATTACAATGATTCATAAACATAAAACAAGACAAATCTAACGATTAGAGATTATTTGTTATAAATAAGTTTCTATGGAAAAGACATTGAGGGCTTAATCAGTTTTTCAATATTTTTCAATCTAATGAAGTACATGATTAAACGTAACATGGAATGAAAATTTAGCTTACCTTTTATAACAATTTTATAAACAATTGATAAAATAAAAAGATGTAATCATAAAGGAAATACGATCATTAATATAATTATTACAAACAATGTCAGTATTCTCTTTCTTATAATTCGACGTAACGAAGCCGCACTTTATTCAGTGAGGTACGCTCACAGTGCGCGGTGAACACATGCGCGGGCGCATCCGGTCCCCGCAGTATAGCCGCAGCGCCTCCGACACTACTTACACTTCCAAGAACCATCATAATAATTCAACAATAATTTAAAATATTTTCATTGTCAAAATTATGAAATTTAGTGAGAGTTTCAAAGTGTTTTTGCGGAACATGTGATTGAAAATGATTGTTACTATTGTGAAGTGATTTTTGAATAAAAATGGTCGAATTCGCCCTTGAAAATGTATGGTATTTATTTGTTTATTACATAATTTTGTGATATTAAGTTGAAGCTCATTAAAATAGTAAAGATTGCATTGTACCTACTAGACGTATTTTTTCAAACTTCTATGTAAGCTTTATCATAAAATTAAATTACTTTTTTACCGACTTCCCAAAAGAAGAAGGTAATCAATTAGTCTGTATGTTTTTTCTATAACCAGGTGTTTGAACTCAGTTAACATGCTATTGTTGTTTAAAATGTTTGGTAATGATGTGGTAGTGAAGATATTATTTTTACAAATTGTATAAAACTTAATTATGTGCACTGCAGATAAATATTACGAAAACTTTCACCTTAAATCTAATTTGCAAGTTAATTAAAAAGTAACTAATTGTTTACGTCATAATTGTCGTTGCCTTGTACAGCTGCCATTTCTTCGTCTGTTCTGCCGGCAATTGTTGCCAATGGCCCATTGTTTATTCGATTCCCACAAAACATTGTAACAGTAGTTATATGCGTTGTAACGTTTCTTTCGCGTTCCCATTTTGTTTCGCTATAAAGTGACAGGTTCGAAATCAGCAGGGACTCGATTTCTATTCTCATAATGTATAAGAAAACTGTTCCAATCATTTTGACTCTTATTCGACTTACGTATCAATAATTTTAAGTAACAAATGGCGGTATTGCTTACAGAATCAGCAAGCTGGCACATCGGGCGACTTCCGACAGTATCACGATCAAAACTACAGCTACGCAATGCACCAAAATCAAAACCAAGGCGCTGTAGCGAGAAACATACAAAACTACGACTCTCCCAAACCGCCTATACCTGCCAAAAACTATGGAACCAAAGCCGATCTGCAAAACAATTCACATCACATCACTGTTACAGTCGAAACCGGCAAAGATAACACGAGAGACGCGCCAAAGAGCACGAAATCCGTAAGCAAGACATATCACACATTAAAAGATATGATATCTAGTAGGTTTAAAGGCAAAGATAGCAATGACAACGAAAAGACTGAAGAACCGAGCCTCAACAACATTGAGGAAAGGAAAAGACCGGAGCCAGAACAAGTGACGCCGAGAGAAACGCCCACGAGGAAGGTGGAGCAAGGGATTTATGGAAGGCCTATGCCTCAAGCAAGACCCGATATGCAGTATTCACATGGGATGGCCAATAACATGGCTTACCCAAGCCCCTCACCACACAGGTCAGATATATTTCAACAAAATTTCGTTAAATAATTGACAGTCAAGTTTTGGTCTTCAGAGAATACCACGCATTGGAATGGTTTAGTTTAATCTAGTCTTTTACCGCTTTCCAGACAAATGATGCAGCAGCAACAAATAGTCCAACAGCAAATGCTATTAAATCAACAAGCAAGATCTCAAGAGATGTTATCGTCGACGCCTCACTCGCGTCCGCAGGCGTTGGGCGCCGACGCCCTGTACCAGCAGTACGGACCTCCAGGAAGAAGAAGTGCTGTTTACCAGAGAGATATGGACGTTAGATCAATGGCTAACTTCACGTCGTTGAAATCAGGCCCACAAAATCAGGTACATATTATAGTTAAATAATTGTTAGTTAAAGTCTGTTGACAAAGTTAATAAATGCAAATCTAAGACTAGAGAGCGCTTAATAAATATTAATTCCTGATTATGTAAGAAACAAATTAGCTACAAAATATCGCCGCGAGCCGGTTTTGCAACTCAAATGAAATACTAAATATAGGTCTGTTTACAAGCCACCGTCCGAAGGCCTGCTTGAAAATTACTGCAATAATTTAAATGCAACACCTTTCTTACGCGGCCCCGTCCTATTCTCACCAGTCACCGGCCTCCGCACAAAGCACAATCGTTCCCAACAATTAAACATTTCTTCCCACGGAATGTGCCGCAATTATATTAACAAGTACTTGTTTCTTCGTGACTTTAAACATCTCTGAAATAGATTTTATGTCTTTGAGAAAGCTGATTTATTTATTAGATCATTGTTAACTTTAATGAAGGCAACGCATTAGTAACTCGAAAACTTAAGGCAAACCTAATTGACTTGATAACTACTAACTAATTGTTGTCTTTTGCTAGTATTTGTTCATAATTTTTCATACTTTACAATTCCAGTTCGACAATTCACATTCAAGGCCAGACTTAAGAAGTCCACAACAATTGGAGAGAGAAATTATAAGACAAAGAGGTTTAGTAGAAGGAAGACGAGCCGCGTCTCATCCTCATCTTCTTGATGAACCACCTCAGCGACCTGAAGTAAATACTCCTCAAATTCACGAAAGATCCAGACGAAATTCACATGGAAATCTTTTAGATGGATTACCCATTGAGAATAGCCCTCAAAGGAATACGACAGAAGAAAGAGAATCCGATGATGGTGGATTTAGACTACGTTTAGCAGCTCAGGGTAGATCAAGTTTTGAAGAACGGATTCGTACAAGCGGTAGATCAATAGAATCGCACAGACAAGAACGTATCCAAGATAACATTTATAGACGGACACCTGAAAGTCATAGAGAATCTCGACGAACTCCAGACTCTTTAGGAAATCGACATAAAGAAGAAACAATTAATCATCAGGGACCTGATAGAAACGATGAAAGTGCAAGTCAAAAGTCTGTAGACAGCGTTTATAACTCCAGTGGGAAAGCCGAAGCGTATCATCCTCAGCCATCGTCGTCGAGACATACGCCTAATCGAATAGAAGACCTGAAAGCTCATGGGAAGAAAGGGGCCAATGGTTCAGGAGCTAGTTCAGGTACTTCATCCGAATTTTTCATAAAAATTAATTATAATTGCATTATGTTAGTATCTTAGTAAACTTTGCAAACTCCTTTAGTTGAAATCTTAATTAGCAGGGCTATTAATACTAACATTTTCAGATTACGACAAGAACGGCGGTCAATCTTCTAACGTGGATTCAGGTCGAGGCAGCGTCGCGTATTCCAGTGGACGGAGACCTGAAGCTAGTCCTCACGATACGTCGGCAGATTCTGACCCTGTTGCACATCCGAGGAACCAACCACAACCTGGCACGAGTCAGCAGCAAACTGTACCAAGTAAGTCTGTAGCTGGTAGATAATCTGCTAGATTGAAAATGATTACGAAATCAATTTGACAAAAAAGTATGAATTAATGTTCATCCTGTCTCTCGCGTTTTTAGATGGTGAAAACGAGTGGGCGGATCTAGTCGAGTGCGAACTTCGTCAAATCTTGGAGCCCAAGCTATCAGCGTTACGCCTGGACTCGTCCGCGAGCTCCGACGGGTCGGTGACGCCACCTCTACCGCCTCTCTCGCCTTCCTCTGACTTACACAAGAGAAATAGGTACAATATAACATATATCAATATAACATATTCAATAATAGCTATTAAAAAATTTAAATATTTTAAATACGTTATATCTTATTAGGGGAATCAAATACTAAAATCTTACAATTGCAGTCTCCCAGGTCGATCGTCCGAGTACCCTGAGGAGCGGCGTCGCGGGCGCGAGTCCCCGCGCTGGCACGGACACAAGA